CTTCTTAATACCGAATGCAGGTATAAATATTAAATACCTAATCTAAATATTTTGGAAATTTAATTGTGTTGATGTATATTATAATAATAATATACGTAAACGTTTTAAGTCCTCTTGAATATTATTTTTAAATTACTACAAAATAACTAAAATCATTACTTATTCTTCGTTTAAATATCTAATTTCGTGCTAATCTGAAACAATTAATTGATTAAAAAATAAACTTATAAAGTAATAATATTATAATTTAGTATAATTTATTAATGATATTTTAAAAAAAACTGTATATTCAAGCGTAAATAAATAAATACTTATTAATAAGTACTAATTAATAATTATTTATTCATTAATAATTACTGTAATTATTACAAAATATACAGTCCTAGAGACTAGACACTATTGTATTAGAATATACTGTCAAGCAAATACGACATAATATAATATTTATACAGGTACTAGGCACTAGTATGCTGTATGTGTGTCTTTATTGTATAAAGCGACGGAAATTCACTTTTTTTATTGTTAAGAGGACGTTACACGGATATTTGTTGTCTCAGTCTTTTAAGCGTAGGCATGGCAAATTTAAGGCCAGCAGATCTCGTTTAACACGGTTAGCTAAACAATTTGAGTGAATCGACCTATTATGAAACAGGATGGTAGTATGGTACGAACATTATCTGTGTTTGTATGTGGTTATCGTATATTATAAAATATTATTACGATAATTCAGTTTTTAAGTTAGTTAAAAAAAAAAGTTAGGTAATTTAAAAATTATTATTTTACAGAAAAATATTTACAATTAATAATAAATTCATAATTATATATTATGCTAGGTTTATACTTTACAATTTTACATGTATTTTATTAGTACGAGGTATATCCAGAAAGTAAGTTCCGTTTTGTATGTACATTTTGCATGGGAACAATTTAATCATCCGCCCTACAGTCCAGATTTGGCACCCAGTGATTTTCATCTTTTTTTACACATGAAATCATTTATGGGTGGCCAGAACTTCAACGAAGATGATGAGGTGAAAAAGGCTATTAGCGCATGGTTACAATCACAGGCGTCATCTTTCTATGATGAAGGGATACAAAAACTAGTACCTCGATATGATAAGTGCTTAAATAATGGTGGTAACTATGTTGAAAAATAGAGTAATACATGTATTTTATATTCAAATAAAATTTATAATAAAATTTACACATTTACATGTTTTTATTGCCCGACGGAACTTACTTTCTGGACACGCCTCGTATATTACATTTATTAATCTATATTTAATCATACCTAAGTGGCTGAGTGTAATACAAAATATATTCAATTTACAATGATTAATTAGTGGTGTGGAATAATTAAAAATATTCATAGCGCTGTATAGTTTATAATAGTCACAAAACCACGATTCCGTCCTAAAAATATATTTTATTTCTTACAGAACGCATACTGATATAAAGATCATAATTAAAAAGAAATTGTGGTCAAATGTATATCGTTTTGTAAAACGTAATTTTATATTATATTACCTATCAAAGTGTTAACGGTCGTTCAGCGCTGAGTATACTGAGATGATATTAATATATTACTATGTAGATTGTATGTACATTATAACACAGATGTCTATATTTACTTATTATTAATAAAACAGTAAAACACCAATACCATGGGTTAAAATTAATTAAGAAAATTATTTAGTCATGACCAATATTAGGTATAGATAATAGTTATAACTTATAATATTATGTCGTAGATTATTCCTAATACAAATAAGAAATATCATGATTTATTATTCAAAAATTCTCGTCGAAAAACCAATCTACCGTGTTACTATACTACCATTCGTAGCGAATAGAGATAATAATAATAATAATAACATTAAGTATTAAGTAAGAACACTTCCAAGGACGAAATAAATAAATGTAACTGCCACCGCAATAGGTAATCGTTTAATGTTTGGGTCGTGAGACTAAAAAACAGTTCCTAATTTCCAAAGTATCCTCTGATAAAATAGTGTTATTTTATAATATTGTCATATGACGTAATAACGAAACAGACCACAGGATAAAAGGATAAAAGGTTAAAAAATAAAATGAAAATATGTCAATATTCAATTCCCGAGCGTTATATTTTACCGTGGTGTTATGGTGTAATCTACGACGGACGAAATAAATTACAACAATATAAAGCAATAATAATAAATGTTCAATTGTAATATTATCATTAGCCATAGGAAAAACAATATTATTTTATCGTTGCGGGTCTATTAATAAAAATAATAAGTAATGTCGTCGCGTACGACCGGTTGATGGTGTGCCTGTGTGGCGCGGACGTGCGGTGCCGTGCCATGCGCTGCGGTGCGGTACGGCGGCGGGTGCTGAGGTTATTTGCGTCGACTTTAATAGTTTAATAAAGCAGATGCGCGGGGAACGGGTGTCGACTGTCGAGCGGAGCAAGGAACCAGTGGACGGGTGTTGTGCTACGGCGGTGAGTAGTGTATGCTGCGGGGATGGCGGCGGTGGCAGCGGCGTTCGGATCGATAGCGACGGTTGCCACTTGCCACTGCTCCGTTGCTGCGGGCAGCAGAGCGAGCGAGCTAGCCTCTGACGGGACGGGAAGTACAATAAGGTGGAATAGAGAACGAAAATATAATATTATAAAGCACGCCGCCCGCATCGACCTCGAACGCGTTCGTGGAACACGAATATTGAACCGAACATAGAAGCGTCGGAGCTAGCGAGCGTTCGCTATATACTTGCTGAGCGATATACATCATATACCACACTAGAACGGCTGCGATTGTCGCCGTTGCACACGCACGCGGCGGCTGCGGCGGGCGGCGCGCCACCAGAAAGAGAACACAACACACAAGCATGAACACACTATATAGCGACTAACTCGCGGCGGCGCACGAAACTATGAGTGCTCAAATGCTCAATACTGTCCGGACAGGCGGGTAGGCACTAGGCGGCCAAACGGTTTTCATGGACGGGCGGGTAGGGCGGTGTGGGCGTGCGGGTGGAAGTGCTATAGGCGGTGGCTGGCAGTTCGAGCGTTCGACACTCGTGTGACCCGAGCAGCAGACAGTCGTGAGCAGTGAGCATTGAGTACTCGACATTTGACAGTCGACACGGGCACTGGGCAGCCGCAGCGCTCCATTTCACCTCTCTCTAGCACAGCGTTCGTCTGTCGACACCTTCGGTACACTTCGTGCACCGCCGTCGACTCACAGCTCGCTCCGCCGATCAGCATTCCGTGATTCCGTCCCGCCACCGTCGCCGCCGTCGCCGTTCTTCTTCGTCCGTCGACTCGATCGCATCGTCCTGCGTTCTTCGCTTGTGCGTTTGATCCTTTTCCGTTGACTTTCCGTTGGCGTTTTTATCGCGTACGGTCTCGCGCCTGCGCGCCGGTCCTCGTGTATCGATTGTCATTTGTATTTTGTGGCCAGATATCGTTAACCGTATCACACGCTCGCCGTCTAATAATTTATTATTATTTTCATAAACTCGGTTGGATTGTTATTATTGTTATTATTGATAATAAAATATTATAAATACAACGGATAACAATAATATTTTATACTATTTAATATTATAGTTCTATTATACTAATTTGTATCGTGAGCTTTGTTCTTTCTGTTCGATTCTTAAAATAATTGGTAGTATTATCGTCATCATGTCTTTCGAGGGTGCGTGAACAGCAGTTGCAGCATCACACGGAACCTGACTCTGTAAGTGGTAAATATTGCGATAATGGTAAGCCGGTAGATCCGCCCGAACGGTATCTCCAAGTACGGACTCCCGCGGGTCGGTCGCAACACGATCGTAATAATAATAATATTATGACATTCGGACGTCTTTAATTGCACAAATTTTCATCCACTGTTGTTCGACATCTTAAAACAATCAGCATTCTGTCTTAAAATCATTTTTAGAATCTATTGTAGGTACCATAGAGACAGATCTTAATAATATTGAATTACCTTCCTAATTTCTATACTTTCTCGACGTCTTGTAGCTGTTTGTTTTTATAATAATTTTGAAATAAGAGACGTAGGTATTTTAGATATGAAATATACGTTTAAATCACAATAATATTATACCCTTTGCGTTTCCCAGGGTTTTTGTAATCGTGTCTGCTGTCCCGCTATTGGTTAAATCGTAATGCGTTGACACCATTATCTACCCTACAACTGCCCTTGTTAGATATGTGCAGTATTGGGTAAATTACTTTTGTAAAGTAATACAATAACATTACTCTTTATATTAAATATTTTTATTTAAATTACATTACCCACATTATTTTTATCACTTTACTTTTTCATTCAAAAACTAGAGCTTTATAAATAGCGTTCAAAATAACTTGAAATAGCGTTACTTTAAATAAAAATAATTGCAAAATCGGTCCATATTGTTGATTATTATTTATTATAAAAACTTTCCGAATCGTAAATAAATTTTATTAATTTTAAATTTTTGTGTAATATCTTAGTTTTTGTCGTACATCCTACATTCATAATGTGGAAAATAACACTTTACTCCATAGAACTTACTCGTTACACCATTACTATTGCGTTAATTTAAATAAAATATAATGAAATTACTACAGCTTTACTGCAAAAGTAATTTGTAATTTGTGTTACGTTACTACCCAAAACTTGATGTGTGTTACATACCCTAATTAGGTGTACATAGTTGCCTATCTACTGCCCTAATGATTCTGGATTGTCCGTCAGTCACCACATAGATTTCAACAGTGTACCTACTATCTGATCTTGTTTAGATATTTTCAGAGGAGTCGACATGTGGTTTTTCCATATTCTGTCTTTCCGATTTGAACGCTTTGGCACATTTTCTTCGTAATATTGACTTCTATACTTAAATTGCATAAAAATAAATTGTGCTATCCAATTGTGCTCAACCAACATAATTATTAAATTTAAACTTTTTTTTTAATGTGTTTCATGTGATTAAAGGAATACTTATTCAAAAATAAAACGTAAATGGTCAACACAAGAGCGTGTACAATGAACTCTGAAAAGGGGAAGAGAAATCAGAATAAAAATTCAAATAGAAGTAGAGCCAACAACTTAGACTCTGGTAAGTGCTGTATTTTGTGATTAGTCTATTGAATTTAAGTTTAATATGAAGCTGTTAAACACCTAGTTATAAAACTAAAACTGTAAACATAATATTTCAGAATTGTTTAAAAAAAGAATTGGCAAGCTAATTCTAAATTAAAATGTATGTATTCCTAGGTATTGTCAGTTTTTAGTTTTATTAAGAAATAATTAATATTATAATTTGTAATACTTACCTATCTACCTACTGGTTTTGAATTTAAACAATTTTAACCGCTTTATATAAATCTAATTATAAAATGATAAATTTAGATACACCTAATGTAACTAAGGGCCGTTCTTACAATGTCCGGTAAAGTGTCGGTTAACGCTAACTGACTGATAACAGATTTTATTACCGGCAGAATTCTTCCGGTTAAGTGTCGGTTAACTTTAACCGGACATCGTAAGAACGGCCCTAAGTATGCAATAAAATCAAGGTAAAATCACCCCCTTATGAATAATTTTTTCTAAAATAATCAGTTTTTAATAGCAAAAACTAAATATAAGTATTAAGAGGAAATTATTCCGACATTTGTTGTCCCTGTCTTAAAAATGTGTAACATAGCAAATTGTATGCTTAGCAGAACATGTTTTTTTTTGTGAAAATTATTATAATATCAATTTTAGCAGACTCGAGTATTATTGATACATTAATAAAGAATGGTTACCCTCTAATTTGTTGTATAAATTAAAAAGTGTTGACTAGTGTATTTATACTACCTACCTATACTAGTTGTGTTTTTGGTTGAACATGTTGGGGTTATTTTTTCTCGTGTCTTAACTTATACTTAACTTTATTTTAAATATCTTACATTGTTTTTTTAGACCAATTAAAATAATATAGGTAAAACAAAAAGTTTCATAGAAATTTGGAAGTTTGCATCGATTTTTGATTTAAGACTGCTTTTTTCAACAATTTTTTAAAAATAGGTATGCTTATTTCCAGTTATTCTGAACATTTTTTTATTTCTGCATATCGTCCCCGTTCATGCAAAACACACTAAGTCCAAAAACATGATTTTTGAGTATGAGCTTTTGCAATTTTTCCAATCTATAATTCCATATTCTGCGTATTAAGGAAAACATCGAATGGACTTAGTTAACATTTTGAATTGTATATTAAACATCTTTAAATAATATTGGGACTTAGTTGAATACAGCATATTGTAGATATTTTTAAACTGAATTTTATATGACAATAAACCGCAAAACCCGATTTTTGGACTTAGTGTGTTTTGCATGAACGGGGACGATATCTGCTTAATTATGATTTATGATGACACGTGCCACTAACAAAAACCTAAAAATGTTAGTTAGTTGATTTCTGTTTTTTTTTTTCATTTATGGTAAAGCTAAGACTAAAAATAATTTTTCTCCTTTGTATCATATTTTCTAATACTTACCTAATAAACATTGGGTCTCGTATTTGCTCGTTAATATACTAACCCGCCAAATTAATCAATTTTTTTTTTCAGTTATTCTTAAACAGTTTTAAATTTATTTTTCAGAAAATCTATAAGAATTATAATAAAGAAGTTTAAATGTTTTCAAAAACTGGAAAAGGTTAAAAGTTTTTAATTTTTTTTTAAGAGTACATTTTTTACACATATAAAACTTGTTAAAACCAAACTATAATATAGAAAAAAATGTGTTGGTGGTTTTTGACGCTCTTTTATACTTTTTTAATATTTTTAAGTGCTTATAATGAAGTACTTAAGTGCTTTTTTTCAGCGCTTATTTTGATGATTATAAGTGCTATAAACCCCGAACCCTGGTAAGTGGTAATGAATAATGGATCACTTACTATATGTAAAAATAACTTCTGTCTTTAAATTTGGAGTTCTAAATCATGCAGCTGTAATACTGACTTAATAAAACAAAAGAAAGCTTAATTTTTTATGGACTTATGAACAACAATGCAAATTACAATTTATCATCTTGAATTTTTGACAAAATGTGTTAATTCAAATATCTGACGATTGCATAACGTTAGTTTTAAACAAAAATTGGATGAAAAGGTGTCGGTGTTTCCAGCTAAATAAGCGCCCGGCTCTACTTATTTATACTAAGTACCTAATTAAAATACTAAATTCTATTAAATTTTTTTTTTTCCAATTAAGTGGTTAAACAATGGTTCTAATATGAGGACCCTGACATTGTGCTTAACTAATGTAAGCTATGCCATGAATATAGCTCAATTATTCCCTATTATAATGGTCTATCTCTAGCAGTGTGACCAGTCGGTGGGCAAACTTGGAGCATTGTACTTCCAGCTTAAAATACCTTATTATACAATAAATTATTTTACTATTGCAATTTTAACAAATAATTCCAGGATAAAACATCTATGGCATTAATAAATCTATGTAGCTACTTTTTTGTTAAACCAACAAACAAAATGGTGGTGATTAATGATATATATTTTGCCAACTTTTTAGTATTAAATTTTTGTTTTTGTTAATTGAGGTAGATTTTTAAAAGTACCCATCAATACAGATTGTGTTTAAGTATATAATGTTAATAGTTATTTTTTTTTAACAGGAAACGAAAAATCAAAAATGAAATCCCACAGTAAATCGCCGCCCTCTATTTGTTCAAATCCGGAGAGTGAAGGTAATTTGATTGAATTTTTATTCAAAATCAATAAAAGTTCTTTACTTTAAACTACTTTATTATAAATAATTTTTTTAATCTTCATTATTATAGTTATAATATATAAAAAAAACTGTTATTTCTTTATTATTTTCCTCGTTATTTTCTTTCTGTTCGCTATGATGATTGTCTTTGTTTTTGCTTTATAAAATTATTTAAGAGAACACTACACAGATATTGTTGTCTCCGTCTTACAAGTGCATAACATAGCAAATTTACGCTCAGCTGTAACTCGGTTAGTTTAAAAATTAGAGTGAATCGACCTATTATGAAACGGGATGGTACGAACATTGTCTGTGTTTGTATGTGGTTATCGTATATTTTGATAATTCAGTTTTTAAGTAAGTTATGAGTATTTCTAATTTATGCTATATTATATCGCATAACTTGTTAACAAATTTAACCATTGTAAAACCCATTTACAAACAGAGATAATTTTCTTACCATCAAGTTTTATAATAGGTCGATTCACTCTAATTTTTAAACTAACGGAGCTAGTCCTCTTAATAATAAGAATATATATTAATATATTATGTAATAATATAAATAAGCTTCCTCTTAATCATTACTGATTAAAAACAATAGTAGTGTATTAAATAACTACCTATCGTAAAATATTATTTACAAAAACAATGTTCTTTTGTTATCAGTATTGTTATTAAATTGTGAACTGATTATCAATAGTAACATTTTTTTATTTTTATTAAAAATTTTAGATACAAGTTTTACTAGTGGTAATAGTTTTTTCTTGATCAAAAAGCTTACAAATTAAGTAGGTAAAAGGTTTTTATATTGATTATATTCATATAATGTAAATTAAGAACATTTCAATTTTGAGTTCCCAAGACTTGAAAATGTAGTATGAAATTAGTGTGCTTACCTGCAATTTAAAATCATCAAATAAACTTAGGCATTCTCAATTTTAAATTATTAAAGAGTCAACAAAATTGGATTCCTTCAAACTAATATTAATAATACTAAATAACATATTAATTTAACAATTATATAATGTATTTTTTTTTTAAATTGTATTGTTCAGAAGATGATCAAAATGTACCTACAACAGTAACAAATCCACCAGTCAAAGTGACCTTAAAAAAGACAAGGTCAAGTAGCAGTAGTTCTTCTAGGGAATCTACCCAATCATTTGAAGTGAGAAACTTAATAATACATTTTAGTTAGAAATTGTTTCAATAAATAGTATGATGAATAATACATACCTATACATTTTCTTTGATTTTTGTCAATAAGGTTTAGTAAAAGGTTATTATTATATTATATTGGCTATAAGACAATTATGTATAATATTGTATATTATGTTAATTTTATTTAATAACTACAAAAGTATAATATATATTTTTTAACTTTGTTAAAATTATATTGATTCACTAAAATTGTTGAAATGGATGGGTATTGTAATAAATTCATGATGCCTATAGATTCTGAGCGGAACAGTTTTACAATATTTTAATTTTTTCTATATCATCAGCTTTTAAGTCAGTAAACATTTTTGATTTTTAACTTTGGGGGTTGTCTCTGGTAGCAAATTATCTAGTTGTTACTTTTGAAAATTTGGGGAAAAACAAACAAAAAATTTATAAAAAAAACCGATTTTTTCCACAAATCCAGATTTGTTAAAATTTATTTTGTTTTTTTTTTTTGTGTGTAACTTAGAAACAATATTTTAACTTGAGCTATTTTTAAATTGTTTTATTTTATTTTCTATAAATGTCGAAAAAAAATTATTTGGTTGGTTAGAAAGCTTCTAAATTTAATACAAGGTTCCTTATGAGGATGATTTATTAAAGTGTTACTATATTTTATAGTTTTATACACACAATTACATTTTAAAATTCATTGTTTTTGCCAACATTTAATTCAATCTACTAATAATAAAATAAATGATTTTAATAGCAATTTAAATTTATTATAAAATATAGGTAGGTACTTATTGATATAGGCTGATATACAGTCTTTGCTTATAATCATTTTTTGTTTGCAATGATTATTATTTACGGCGGACCAGTTGCCTATTTAATCTCTTTTTTTTGTGTCTGATGTCAGTAAAAATATGCCAAACATTAATTTTGAAGATGTTTTCTGGTAGAAAAGTTGATCTGATTGGTATTTTAGTATAAAGCCACATACCTACATTTTCTATGAGTGATTGAAGTTCAAATTTTAAAAACATTAGATATTCATACATAAAATATAGATTTTTCCTCAAAAAATGTTTGATATTTTGTTATTACTTAAAATATAATATTAATTAAGAGGACGCTACCCATAGATTTGTTATCTCCGTCTTACACACGCACGGCATAGCAAATTGTCATTCACTAGTTTCAATATAATAATAGTGTGCTGTTAGTTTTGATACTAGAGTGAATTGACCTATTATAAAACTTTTAGGTAAGAACATTATCTATGCTTAAGCAATGCCGATTTTTCAAAATTTTAATTTTCAAGCAAGATATGGGTATGTGAAATATTAAAAAATAAAAATGCTCATATCTCACTTGAAAATGAAAATATCCAATAAAAGCCAACACTTAAGCATAGATAATGTTACTATCTAAAAAAATGAAAATAGGTCAAATCACTCTATTATAAAATCTAACAGCACACTATTGAAACTAGTTAACGAAAATTTGGTATGTCATACGTGTGTAAGACGGAGACATCAAATGCATGGGTAGCACTTTCTTAAGGAAACTTGAAACATTTGACTATTAATATTCATATTATTTTCTATAGACACGTTTTTTTAGAGGCGTATTTCCTGAGTTTAGGCCTGTGAAAAGTTGCTGTCCTAAATGACTAAAATAATAACAATAACAGAAAACGTATAAGTATAACCTTAAAAAATGTTCCACTGTAGGCACGTACCTATAGTGACTGTATATAAATATGCTACTGTAGACAATTAAAATTTCAAAATATTCACACACATTTAAAGCCTTAGGTTTTAAAATTTTTTTTTCTATTGATGTTGATAAAATTGTTTATTCTTGAATAAAAAGCTTAAACAAAACCCCCAAGTTTAATGATTTGTTTTCATAGCAATTTTTTTATCGTTAGGAGTTAAATTTGTTGGTAAAATTAAATACAGTGGGTTCCTCTTATTGGACTCATGGTTAATTGATTCATTTGCCTATTACACATAAAGCAGCTGGTCTTGATTTGTACGTGTACTAATAAAAAGCAAAAAAAAAATAGTGTATTAGACTCACTAGACCGGTTAATCGGGACATTTGAAAATTAGGTAGGTACTTAGGGTTAGGTTATTACAATAAATACATATTTAAATCATATTTTATATTTTGAGGGTAGCGAAAAAATGTATTGTATTTGTATTTATAATGATTTGGGTTTTTTTTTGTCATCAAAATTTGAGGTAATAAAATTGCTTCAATAGTAAATTCCCAGTAGTTAATAAAATCCTCGGGGGAAGAAAATAATGAAAGAATAATGGGAATTTTTACTCAAAAACAATTTAAAAAAAATCAATAAAATTTTTTTGGTGTAACTCAAAAGCTAATAACCATAGACACTTGACATTTTCACCAAATATATTTTATATCACCATTTTCCATATATGGTAACAAGTTTGAAATTCATAATAGTTTTCTTTTCATAGCTAACATTAGACATTTTAATAGAAGATTCCCATCAAGTTTTTAAACCACTATAAAAAAAAAAAATGTTCTCCATGTAGTTGCGCTATTTATAATTAAATTTTATTATTAATCAGGGCTTGAAACCGCTGCTGAAGAAACAGGTTACCGGTTATCGAGGTTTTTAGAAATAATGATAATCATTTCCCGCTTACCGAAATAAATTTTATAAATGGGATTACCGGTTATCTTTTTGGAAGCGGTTTTAAATCTTCAAAATTACCGGTTACCTCACAAAACCGTTTTTTTTTTTTTTATGTTTTAATACCTACTCTATTCTATTTCATCAAACTTAACATGTCATTTTTGAAACTATTCATGCATTTTGTTGTGGTATGACTGGAGGTAAGAAGAGGCGTAAAAAAAAAAGATTAAAAACAACAACTACATAAAAGTAGTTGTAGGTATCTATATCTATTGTTCTTCTTTAAGATACATAAAAACTTAAAAATATAAAATAAATGATAACAGTTTTATAATTATGAAAAAAATTAAAATACAAATTTTATTTTATCATAGATGGTGACAATATTTGGTTATTAACATTTGACTATTATAGTATTATCAGTTAGTAGTTAGTACGTTTTATTTGGTATGGAATATAGCAGCTGACGGGCGAGTAGGCACGGTAATAGCACTAATAAGTAATAGATGATTACACAGTTTTGTTCAGTATTACTATTATTACGAACTAATGTAACGAACTTTTTATTAAATAATGAATATCAAAACAGTCCCTGATTATAAGTTATAACGTACCTATTACCTAGTACTTGGTATAATATCGTACATGCAAGAGTTATATACTATTAAATATATATGTATCAGCCCGCATTCGTCGATGTTTCTACCATTCGTATCAGTATTCAGTACCTATATTATAGGTACTGACTACTGAGAATCTTTTGTTAGTGCGCCGATACGATTCCGCAATCAAACACGCTTGTTTTGGTATTTTTAAATTTTAATACTTAGTAGTTCTAAAATAATCTATTTTAGTTTTTTATAAATATTATTTTCTTCTATTTAGAATATTCAATATAATTTTAAAAAAAAATTTTTACGTTAATTGGTTTGAGATTTACGGTTTTGTATACTTCCGACTAATTAACCGGTTCGAAAAATAAACGGTTACCGTTATAGATTTCCCCCTTTATCAAATTCCATGATTACCGGTAATTGATAACCGCTTCTCAAAATTGAAACTCGAGAACCGGGAAGCGGATACCAGTCCAAAAAGTACTCATGGTAACCGGTTACCGGGAAAAATCGGTTACCGGTTTCAAGCCCTGTTATTAATTATACAAGTATGCTAGGAATTGTTGTTTGTGTGCAATGATTTGTCATTGAATTCAAATGTAACATCCGTATTGGTAATAATGACATACTCATAAATTACTGTCCAGTAGAGCAGTACCCATTTGTCCAAATTTTTTCTATACCTATAATGAAATGTTTAGATTAATAAATATAAAGCTACCCTGACATCATTCTATTAATAACATGTAGTTATTTTATATAAAATAATGTTATAATAAACATAATTTGGTTTTTGCTAAAATTAGTTCAATCTACTATGACTAACAGGAATATAAATTATGGATAGCAATATAAATATTTATACCATAGGCTGGCTGATAGACTGTCTCTGCTCAAAATCGTTTTTTGGTTAGCAATGATTTATTATTTATTGAGTTAAAATGTAATGCATCCATTATAGTGACCTACTCAATGACGAGGACATGTATACTCGTCACCTACTTTACAACAGATCAATTTTTCCATTTTTTAATCCAAACAACGGTACTTTCCTGTTATACCAGACTACCCTGTTTTTTGAGAACATCACAATCCTGTTATCTAAGACTACCAAAATTATACTTTCCTGTTATACAAGACTACGGCTGTTATCGCGACTTCCACCAAAGACTACCTCCGTTATGGCGACTACCTATCTTATTTAGCTGACATTATAGTCAAACGATATCCATAAGCTGCGATTATATTTATTATATTTGTGGATTTATCATTTTGTATTATAATTATTATTTTATTATTTTATTGTTTTCTGTATGCCGCGACAAATTTGGTACATTACAAATAATTATTATGTATTACATTTTTTTTTATATAATTTGAATGTGGCCATCCCCACAGTACGTACCTAAATTATTTATTATTTTATTTGTGGATTTACCATTTTGTATTATTATTATTAATTTATTGTTTTCCGTACACCGCGTCAAATTTGGCACTTTGACGTGTAACATGTAAAATACATTACGAATAATTACTATGTATTTAAATGTTTTCTTTATTTCATTCTGGCCATCCCCAAAGTACATATTATTAAAAAATCTATCAAAGAAGGCAAGAAAAATAAAGGTGGTCACGTATAACAGGAAGTACCATTTTGGTAGTCTTAGATAACAGGATTGTGATGTTTCACAAAATAAGTGCGGTAGTCTCGACAACAGAGGTAGTCTTGGGCGGTAGTTGCGATAACAGCCGTAGTCTCGTATAACAGGAAAGTACCCAAACAACTAATATTTATTTTATATTTAAGTCTTCTATTTCTAATATATGGTTCTTCTTTTGTTATTAAATTAAATATATATATATCAATTAATTTCAGGTTGTGAGAAGTCTTACAAATACAGCTGAAAGTGTTTCTGGCGAAGAAGATTGTGAAAATCCAAAGGACTCTAAACAGGAAAAACCTTCCGATAAATCCCCCTCAGTTGATGCTGGTGAAAATGAAAAGGAATCTGATGGAGAGTCTCAAAATGCTAATAGTTCTGATGAAGAGGAAATAGAAATATTGTCAGATGATACCGATGATACCGAGTCATATACTGAAAGACCTAGTCCAGCTGTATCAGTTAAAGCTGAGGAGAAGAATGTGTCTATTAATACAGTAGTAGATTTAAAAACTGAAGAACTTCCTCAAAATTCTACAGCGGTTAAGAAAGAAGAATCTAAAATACGAGTTAAAACATTGAAAGAAGAACTGTTAAAAGAACCAGCCTTTGAAGGTGATGTAAGTGTCTTAAAAAATGATAATGAAATTAAAAATATTCAAGTACCTCAACCACAAAACGGCATTCAAAAAAATGAAATAAAAGGGCAAGTTAAAGAACAAAAGTTTAAACTTAATGTCCGTTCTTTTGATGATTTAGTAGATCCTCGTACTGCGATTCTAATTAATATGCCACCACCTGCACCAATAGACAGGGCACCTAATTTTTTAACTCCAAATGGTGGTGGTCCTTTTCCGCCACCGTATTTGTCATGTGATGTCTGTGGAATACAGTATGATTCTCCAGAATTATTAAATGACCATAAAATAACCATGAAACATTTCAAATGTTCATTCAAGGAATGTGAACATTTAGTAGCAGCAGGTCAGCAAGAATTTCTAGAACACCAACGTATGGTTCACAATAGTATGCCATCACCAGTTCAACAATTAGCACACCAAGTAATAATAAAATAATACAATTTTGATAAAAAGTTACAAATTTATTTTCAATTTTAGTCAGTTTTAAATCAACAAAAATCATTTAAATTATTCTTAAGTATTATGATTGTTAAGGCTGTTGAAACCAGGTTATTTTTTCATGCATTTAGACCAATAAGCAGAAAAAAAAAGATAAAAAAAATATATTTCCAGAAGATTGAATTTTACTGACTTTTATCTGTTTTGTATGAAAATAATTTCTTTTTTAGTTAGGTAAAAATAAATTTTGAAAAAAAAAAATCATTTATTTCACATTATACTAACAATACAACAAATTGAAAATCCATTTTCTACACACCTAAAAAAGAGAAGAAAGAATTTAAATATGTTTTAAAAACTATTAAAATCTAGTTTTTGGTACTGTGTGAATTTTTCTTCCGCTTTTCAGGACTCATGGGAGCTGACTTTTTTAATTTTTTGATCGCAAAGTATAGTGACATGTGACTGCGTGTATGTTTGTTACAGATTTCCTAGAATCTTATCTATTATTTATGTTTTGTTTTACATAAAGCGTTTGGTGAATTCATGCACACAATAGGTCAGTCACTACACTCGGTCACACATCACTCAAAATAGATATAGAGTATATACTAAATCCGACCCCTTAAAAATGGTTGGCTTCCAACAGCCTTATACAATTATATACTTATTATAAATCAATTGATATAATATATTTCTTTATATCAAGTTGAATTGTTTTGTTATAATTAGGTACAACGTTTACCAGCAATGGGTTTTGATCAATTACAGTCCGGTGTTCCACCATTACCTGGGAACCTATCTCCTAATATGTATACACAATCATTACGGATGCCAAATCAACCAGTTCCTATGCAACGTCCCATGCGTCCAATGATGAGGCCTATATCACATAATATGGTTTCTCCAAGAGGGCGTAATGTACAAAGAGGATCAACTATGAGTGCGTCTCAAAGTGTTATATTATATTATTAACTAATAACAATTATTTATTATTATTGCGTAGGAGGAAGAACAGCTTCTTTAAATTCATCTCCAAGAGGCAGTTCTTTAAAAAGACCATTAAATGCTACCAGGAGGGGAACTCCGCCTATGAAACGTACAAATCTAGATAGGTTAGTAGCATATTGACTGTAGAATATTCCATTTAGTATTATTATACTCAAGGTAGATATTTAAAGGTGTCAACACTTCTCTTAAAATTTGCTTGTAATACCAGTTGTTGATACCACTAGGAGCTAACTACTATTACTATGAAATACTTATTAAGACATAAATTAATTTTTTTATAATTATTTATATTAAATCATATTATAATAATTGTATTAGGTAATTTAATATAAATCAATGTTGAATTAGAAAATTATCAATTGTCACATTGTTTTCAGTAATAGTGTTTTGAGTAGGTATATAACAACTTACTAGCCGGGCTGCATGAAAAATTGATTAATTTAATGGTTGTAGTCATTGTCATTTTAAAATTAAATTATATTAATGACAAATTTATTCCTTGATTTTTGGTATATGGTACCAAAAGAGTAGAAAATCAGTAAATCCACTTTTATACATTTTTATTAAAAATACATTGCAAATTGTCACTGTAAGCAGACATGTGTGAAATGTTCAATTTTGTCAAAACATGTAATCTGACTATCTTACTTTTATATTATACAAATTAAGTATAAATTATAGCAGTATCACATTTCACTTTATTTTATTGTTCTCTCTTGAAGTCGTATCATTATTTCTAAACCTTTTAACTCAGAAACCATTTAAAATGAATTTGTTAAAACTTGCATTTTGATCACGTTGACGGTTAAAATGAACTGCCATATACATTTTTTTACAAGAACCAAAATTCAAATTTTTCTTACAAAGGGCTGTTCTTACAATGTCTTGTAAAGTGTAGATTAAAGCTAACCAACTGACAAGGGATTTTATTACCGCGGCCGAGGCCCATCCAATTTTTTTTAGGGTCTCATAAATTTTTTTATATGCTTGGCGTGTGCCTGGTCTTTATAGGGAGTAAGGATCCAGTAAAGTATTTATCGATATATTTTTCTTTATAGGGCCAAGATGCTTGCTTATTATAGTGTGAGCAGGGAACTAAAATAGTACAATTAGTGCTAAGTAATAAAACGGGGGAAGTTTTTTTGCATTAATTGCTCTACTGTAAGTCAAGTTGTTAGGTTTTATATCTCTCCTTAAAAACAATCGGCTCAGACGAGGCCACGAGGGCTCCGCTCACCTGATCCTGCAGCGGATCCGCTGTTGGATTCAGCGATCATGAAAATGTTGCATGCAAAAATATGTATTATTTATAATACTATACATCTACTCATACCTATATATATATATAAATATAAAGCAAGATTGGACCTATGAAAGTTTACTTGAATAATATTATGCTTTTAGCTTATGGATTTGTCTTCAAAGTTAAAATTCTATAGGTAATATAAATATAATTTTTGTTTTCGTAATTTTGTTTCTGAGTAATTAATAATAATTATTTATTATTTTGAAGTTTCGAATATTTCAAGAATGTCATAATTTATTATTTAACGAATGACTCGACTCGCCAGCCTTTCCATTAATATTGTATAGGGTGGTTTTTTAAGCATGCTCAACCTCATTTTTTTTTTACCTTAATTGTACATATTATATTAAAATGATGATTTTTAGAATTTTTAAATACACTTGTAGATTTTTGAATACATTAGATTTTTTATACCATTTAAGGAAGATGTTGTTACAATACAAACTTCTGTTTTTCAAACAGGAATCATAATTTTAATATTTTTTTGTGTCTGTCATCACGTTTTAGGACAGTAAAAGTGCTTTTATTTTCTTCAACAGTAGCTTTTCTGATAGGAAAGTGAATCTAGTTGGTACTTTGGGGGGTCAAAAGTAAAAATTTCTCAGTAGTTTTAACAAGCACCGGGAAAAACAACATAAAAAGGAAAAACAGGAATTTTTACTCAAAATTGGTTTTCCAAAAAATAGATTTTGGTTTTTGGTGAACTCTAAATCAAATGAACGTATATACATGAAATGTTCACTGGTTGTTTATATTTGCATTTTCTATATACGATAACATTTTCAAAATATTTTGACTCTTTTTGAGCTGTTTACAGACATTTTCACTTTTCAATTTTTTAGTTTTTTTTTCTATAATTAATATCAATAAAGTTTTATCTGTTGGGCCAAAAAGTGTAAAAATTTAATACAAGGCTCCTGATATATTGTTCAATATCAGTTGAAAAATATTAAAAATAGGCACAGTTTTTTTTTATAAGCATTTATAAAGATCAAATTTTGACAAAATTTATCAAAATCTCGAAAATTATCAATCATTGTAGTTAATAAATTATAAAATGTTCAGTTTTTATAGCTAAGGATTGCAAATTCAACACAAAGGTTCTCGTAAATAGTTCATACTGTAACCAAAAAATCTAAAAAATATATGAACACAGTTATTTTTTACAGACATTTTAATTCAAATTTGGACGAAATTACATATTAAAAAACCTAGAATAACTATTTTAGTTATTTTGTTGTGATTGTGTAATTTTATTCGTGGGTACTTGATACTTTACACTATTATATATCTATGGAGTATGGACTATGATAGTAGCAGTGTTTGTTGTTGACGTATAACGCATTATAAGTACCTAATGGATATTGTGATATGATTAATTTGGAATTTATTATAGGTACCTATAATAGGTCAATTTTTTGTTTAATACCATAGATTTTATATAATATGTCTTATACATAGACTGACATACCGTCTCCGCTCAGAATCGTTTTTCTTATACAATGATATTATATCGTTGAATTCAAATTTAATATCATATATTATACAGTGACCCACTTGTAACCTTCTGTACAGCAGAGCGACACCCACTTGCCCACGTTTTTATTTTTTAGAACTTTGATCCACTAAATCAACATTTGAACTAGTAGTTTTTGAGTTATATAACTGTACTAAGGATAATACGTATATGGAAATTGGCTGAGTAGGTTTAGGGCTTAGATAATTTGAACATGTTAGTAGTTAGTACTAATTACTATTTATTTATCAAAATAAATAAATACTGAATAGTGAATATTTACTACATTTAATATTAAGCACTTATAGTTTTTTTTATTTTAAAACCATATTTAAGGGTTATTTTCCTTAGAATAGACATTTTAATAAGTCAGCAACTACATATTACAATTATGATTTAGATACATCTACATTTACAAGAACATCATTTGCTAAATAATTTTGCAGTAAAAAAGGAAATTCTCATTTGAAAAATTAAAGTTTGTATAGCCACAGGACGACACTCTTTAATAGTAGTACAAAAAATATGAAGAATTTGAATATACGGTCTTTAGGTATACCTAAAAATTCTAAAATTCAGAATAAATTTATTTTTTTTTTTTTTTTTTTTTTTTTTCATTTATTTAAATATATCTACAATCTATACAGTTTTTGTACAATAATTAGATTTGATAGGAAAGAATATAAAATTAACGGCGAATAATAGGATTGGGAAGTTATCCATTGATAACACCCAGCACGTGCGTTAGCTATTGACTAATGATTATTGATTATTAATGTAAGAGATCCCTACACCATTTTCTTTTTAGTCTACGTCGAGGGTTGTCGGGTAGAGTTTTAGATGATAATTTTTTGATTAGTGGATTAGTGTGTGATTGGAGTTTATTATGAAATTTAATGTAGTATGTTTTAGAGATTTGATTTAGGGTTTGTATTTTTAAGTCTTTGTGGAGGTTGGAATTTGTTATGTACCAAGGAGCAGAGGAAACTAGACGGAGACAGATGGACTGGAAGGCTTGTATTGATCTGGTGTTGGAGGGTTTAGCGGCTCCCCATAATTGAATGCCGTATGTCCATAGCGGCCTGAGTAGAGACTTGTAAATTAGTAATTTGGTGTCAATGTTCATTTTAGATCTTAATAATGGTCTTAGGAGGTGTAGACGGGAATTAAGGGCTTTTCGTTTATCAACTATGTGAGGATTCCAGGTTAGTTTACTGTCAAGGGTAAGACCTAGGTATTTTATTTGTGTGTAAATAGGGATTGGAATGTTGTTCATTGTAATTTGAGGACAAGTTTTTTTATTTAAGGTAAATGTTATGAAGGAGGACTTGGTTTCGTTGATTTTGATTTTCCACCTCTTTGTCCAGAGGTGTATAATATTGAGGTGTCTTTGCAACATATTTGAGGCTATAATGGGATTTTCATTCGTTGCTAAAATTGCCGTGTCGTCCGCGTAGGAACCGAGTTCAGTGTAGGAGGTTTTGGGAATGTCATGAGTGAATATATTATATAGGAAAGGGGCAATATCGCTACCTTGGGGAACTCCGGCGAGAATGTCAAAGTAGTTTGAGTAACATGAATTCTGTCGTACGATGAAAGTACGGTCACTAAGGTACGATTTTATAAGTAAGTAATAAGGCGCAGGCAGAAATTTTTTTAGTTTGAACAGTAGGCCTTCGAACCAGACTCTATCGAACGCTTGTGCTACGTCCAGGAAGACGGCAGCACAGTAATGTTTTTTTTCTAGTGACGAAGATATAGTGTCGACTACTCTGTGAAGTTGATGGATCGTTGAGTGGTTCGGTCTGAAACCGAATTGTGTATCTGGGATAATGTTAGCTGAGATAGCAAGAGGAATGAGTCTTTTTAGTAAGATCTTTTCGAATACTTTTGATAGAGTTGGTAATAGGCTTATGGGTCGATATGATGTGACTTTATCTGGAGGCTTGTTGGGTTTTGGAATTAGTATAATTTCGGAAAATTTCCAGGTTAGGGGGAAGTAAGATAAACGTAACATTGCGTTGTAGATATACGAAAGTAGTATAAGGGTTTTTTTTGGCAGGTTTTTAGCGGTGAGATTTGTGATCCGGTCGTACCCTGGAGCTTTTTTGTTGTGAAGTTTTTTGATTATAAACTCGATTTCACCGGGACTAGTGGGTTTAGCTGGGAGTGACATTGGTAATGCAGAGTCCAATGATTGTGTGACTATTTGGTTTTGGGTGTGATTTAGATTTATATTGTGTGGTGTGAAGGTTTTGGATAGATGATGGCCGAATAGGTTTGCTTTATCGGTATCAGAAACAACCCATGTGTTATCTTCTTTCCGAAGGGGAGAGGGAGTTGAAACGGTTTTAAGATTTTTTTTTGTCGCTTTCCAGAGGGAAGAGTGTTGAGTTGTTAAGTTCTGTATGTATTTTTGATAAGTGCTAGAGCTGTGTTGTGAGAGCGCTTTTCTTAGTTTGTTGTTTAGTTGGTTGAAGGTTTGTTTATCGATGGGGTATTTGTGTCTTTGCCACCGGGACACATTATTTTATATATTATTTTTAAAGGGAAAAATTTGGTAAACATTTTTTCACCAAAATGTCAAATATATTTTGTTTTTCATTATTAGGGCCCCTTAGAAAAACTGATCCATGGCCTCTGGAGTGCCAGTCCGACACTGGCCCTTAATATTATTACGCTGATTCAATTTAAGTCGATAGTAAAGTAAAGTCAATGTGATACATTGATGAACTCAAACTTATACGACGTATAACAATGTGACAATTGTACTTTGCGCATTCAAATACACAATCTGTTTATTTTTAAACTAAACCACAATTATTTGTAGTTAATTCTTAATTAAAATCGGAGTTCAAATGGAAGTATCTACCAATTAGGCTTGTACGTCCATGTGTATTATTCAGAAAAAGCCGATTTGTTCATAATATAATGGTGGTGCTTCAAATTTATACTACACATGTTAATTTAACTGTCAGAAAGGTTGATACGGCTAAAAGAAACATTTAAATTACATAGTGATGATTGCAACTAGAATCACTAGAGTGGGTATCCATTTGATGTATTTTGTTTTGCTTATTAATCTATTGCTATGGTGAATACGGCCATTTGTCTGTTAACTTTTGATGAATTTATGACGTTATTGTAATCATAAATGTAACACATTGTAATAGTTACTTAAGATAATAATTTGTCTCAATAATTCTCAAAGAACTAATATTTGTATATTAAATATACATTTTATTTGTTTATTACTAAATATTATAATTTAAATGAGTTTTGTGTATAGTATCAAATTGTTTATGAATTTCTGTAAATACTATTATGCAAATACCGTATTTAAACATATAAAATACTATAATTTCAAATTTGTGTTACATTATTTAAATTAAGGTTGAATGCTTTATACTAATGTATTTCAGTATAGACAAATAATGAAAATTACTTAACATTAAATATTTTACAAAGTCAAATTTAAAATATCAACAGATAATATGGTATACAAATCAAAGTAACCGAAGCAGCGCGTTTGGTCAAAATTGTACAAAAACAGTAGTCTAAACACTATATTGTATTGAAAAAAATACTTTCAGACTACTGTTTTTTTTTAAAAATCCTAATGGTTATTAACTACCACGATGAACTGGATGGTCATACAACTGGTTTAATTTTTTCATAATGATATAAAATATGAAGTGTTGACACATTTATGTAATTACATTGATTATATTTTAAGATTCAAATGTAATTTTGATTTAGAAATTCCTATACAAGTCCCTTGAACAAGACTCCTCAAATTGCTAAATCCATAGCAGAATCTTTAACAAAATCTGCAAACAAAAATTCAGCTTCACCGGCTTCACAGCAAGATGTTGTTAATTTATTTTCCAAACGAGGGCTCACTATTAGCACGGTAACTTAATATTATTATTTTAGAATTTAAAAAAGGTAGTAAATTTGAAGGAAAAATTGAATCGCTATAAAATAATTATTAAAATATTATACAATAATAATTTATTAGCTAATTTAGTTTTAAATAACAAAATAATATAAAGCAGGCATTAAATATTGAGATACATAATTATAATACTTAATATAATACTATATATATACTTAATACAAGTTTTGGCAATATTATTGTTACTTGTTAAAATACGTTTACCTATATATAACAATTATAGATTTTAAAGATATGTCATATGTATAGGTTGTAACTAAGACTTTTTTTGCTAACCCCCAACTAATTAAGAAATATTTTCCATCAAGGAGATAGACAATAACAGTATAATCATAGACTTATACACAGATGGAACAATCAATATTATTAGATGGACTATGGACTGATTATTGGGTTCATACTTATTCTTTTTTGAAGTCAATATAAATTATTACAATATACATGATCCGTTGAATGTCTTGCTTATTTTCTTTTTTAGTTGGTGCGTAGCTTTTATTTTTGATAAGAGTCCCCTGTTATTGATGTATCTGGGCCCAACAATTATAAATCAAACCATTCAAACCCTGGTTATCTCTGAGTATAATATCTATTATGGTGTTGTCTTAATTAGTAAAACTTATTTAATACATTGTTATGAATAATGAAATTTAGGATACATAAAAGTTTCAGTGTTATATTTGTGGTTACACCTACAGTTTTGTCCCGTTGCTGTCTTTCAAGTGGCTGATATGGGTGTATGTTATTAGAAACTTCACACAAAAATATGAATGACCTCTCAAATTTATGAAAATAATAAAATATAATATATACATTCAATAAAGTTCTTAATGTAAATATTCAGTTTCTAAGTTTGTTAATTTTTTGGGTTATTTAAGAAAAATGCTCTCATCCCCCAACTTTTATTATTTTGGGAATGTTAATAAAAATACATAGTCTGTCCTTATCTTTAGTTTAATATTTATTAGTTTTATTAAAATTATATAATGTAAAAAGTATATATTTTAGTATATATTATTAATTAATTTATTAGATTGTATTATGGGTAAAAGCCCAATTAAAAATAAAAGAAAGTTTTTACATTAATAGAAATAACATGCTTATAAGTAGGGCCTGGATTTCAATGCAAAGTGCAGGATGATCTTATACAATGCTTTCCAAGAACATAATTTATTTTATGAAACAGGTACTTAAACGTTGATACTTTTATATTGCATTTTATTGCATATCTTTGGATGTTTTTAAATTTTTCGGTAATTTTGTTAGTCAGGGCTTCAAACTGAAATGATTTTTGTGGTTAATGGTGTTAGTTCTTCTTTAATTTTTTTCGGTTTAAAAAACCGGTTAATATTGATCCTAAATTTTATGGTTACTAAAAACTTTAAATTAATAAAATCGGTTAATTTTTTTTTAATAATATGAATAATATGTATATACTATCTACTACTATAAGAAAAAAAATACAACTGCATATAAAATTTACTTTATTTTATAATTTTTATGTTTAAATATAATAAAAGCATGAAGGCTAGAGATATATCTTGAATAAACCTTGGAAAACCACTAACATTTATCATAATATTATAAACAGACAATATCCTTTTGGTAAAAAAATTCAAATTTTAACTATTTACCCACTTACGCATTATAGATCGAAAAACATGTATCCAGTAGTAACATATTTTGTAGGCCACTATTATAATTTATAAACACTCTAAACTTTTTATCAAATTTTCATTAATTTTTTTTTTATGTTATTATACTAATATACATTATTTTAATTTTATAGGTGGATAATGGAAACAACTCAATTCTTCCCCCTGGACTTAGCTTGAACTCAGCTGTTTCTATTATACCTACATCACCTCATAAGGTATCTAATAGTGTATCTAATATGGCATCTAAACATGTACCACCTAAGGTACCAACTCAGGTAATTTATACAGTTTTTCATAATATATTCCAAATATTATTTAAAAAAATAATTTTTCATTCGTAAAAATCGGAATCAATGTTTACAAGCAGATAAGGTAATTTTTTCAAGTGTTTTGTCATTAATACAATTCATTTTGATAAAAATATTTATAAAATTACATTGAGTATTTCAAAACAACCAATGTCATATTTAAATATAATACCTAACACCAGCACTTACATTATGAATGTACATATTAAATAAATTATTTTATTTAATTTATAATGAGTAAGTTGGATAACATGGGTTTATGTCATTGTAGATATTAGAATATAGTGTATACATATACTGTATACATATAAAATGTTGATAATTTAATATTTTAGATAGTTAAAATTGTTCTTAGACCAAAGTAATCTTTGAATGTAAATTATCTATTACATTAACATAAAACTGATAAGATCATTTAGAGTTTTATTAATAACAGTACAAATGTAGTGTATTCAGCAAATATTTTATAATTTTTAGCATCTAACATTTAAATGGAAAAACTGCCATAAGCTAATATAAATTTAACATACAATTATTATATTTTAGAGTATGGACTGTGTTGATTTAACTGGTCCTGATAAGCCAAAGAAGTATTACCCTTGTGAAATATGTTGCAAAACATATACGAGTGCTGAAAAACTGTATGAACATGCATCTATTGCACATAAATCAAATTCAATTCCGTATAGGTAAGTAATTGTTACTCCTTCACGAGTGCTTAAACCATGGTTTTGAGTAAAAATATAGTTTTAAAAATAATACATAATTGTTCATTTTTCATAGATATTTTGTTCTGATTTCTATACAGGTGTAACTTATGTACATTTGTTGGTCAAAATCCTGAGGTGTTGAATCGCCATAAAACATCAGTTCACAAATCAGAAATGAATAACACATCGTTAGTGGTCCCTGTTGTAGACTTGAGTAAAACCTCTTCTGTGAACAAGTTGAGAAGTTTAGGTGTCACCAGTTACCTACCAGTTTCCCAACTGGATAATCAAAGTGGCCAGTTTGGTGTGCCAATCATGAGTTTTGGAAAGAGGGGCAACTTGATAGATGGGATGAATGCTACCAACTTTTTCAATTTGGGGACAATACGGCACATGCAATGAATATCAGACAAAGACTGTTTTGAAATAGCATCTATTTTGGTTGTAACTTTTGCATTTTACTCATAATCGCAGTTTTATGCATTCTGTTACAAATTTATTATGTATCAACATATTCTACTTTAATTTGGTACAGTTAAAACATTAATTTTGATTAAGTTTCTTTTTTTTAAGATAAAATAGTTTCTCAGTTTTACAAGTAGTTTTTTTTTTTTATAACTAAATTTGTTACTAATTTTAGTATGTTCTTGTTTATTAATTTTTTTTTTATGTGTCAATAAACTAAGCCAAATTACAAATTTAAATTTTGGCTATCTATATTATATTGCATAGATTAATGACTACTTCTATACAACTATAAACAATATTTGTACATCTTTATTATTTGAGTGAGAAATTGATTTGAAGGTCAAAACTCCAATGTTTTTTTTTATTATTATAACTTTTTAATAAAATGTTAACTATTGACATTTTTTATTCCCTGTAAAAAAAATTATAATTTTTGATTAATATATTATGTAATATGACATTTTCTTATTTTATGTTCCAGTGTCGCATTTTTGTTATTCTATTTTTATTACATGTAGTCATGTAGGTAAAAGGGTACAGATAATATGTCATTGAGGATGTTCTAATAAACATTTGACCTATATACCAGTGTTTCTTTACTGTATTTTTACCACCAACTTTTTTTCGTTAGTTAAATGACTCGGTACAATTCAAGCTGTGCGTGTAAATATTTGTACTGACTGTGTCACGATAAATAATTTTAAAAAATGGTTTGGTTTTAAACTTTGGGGGTGGAGATGATTATTACTTTTTAGTAACAGATTAAATCTGGTTGGTACTTTTGAAAGGTTAAGATTAAAAATGTCTAACACTTCTCAATATTTGGGGAAAATGGGGTTTTTATGCAAAAACAGTTTTCGACAAAATTGATTTTTTTTTTTTTTGTAATATTAGGCAAAACAAAAAGGTAATTTAATTTTTGAAAATTTTGCCCCCACTCCCTTGGGGGACTTCTGGTGTAACATAGCAAATTTTATGCTCAGCAAAGTTATGAGTATTTTAAAACTATACCTACATTTTCAGTACCTCTACGGGTGTGATTTTTACCTGCTGTATCTCGTGTGGGAACTTACATTCGCCCTTATGATATTGCTATATAAATATTTGTTCATTTATAAATGGGCAAGTACCCTTTAGTAATAATAGCACAGTATGTAGAATCTCAATTTGGCAAATATAACAGTGAAATTAAATAATATAGTGTTTTAAATGAATTAATATTTTTAAAATTAATCGTACTCCTATTTATGAAGCCTGACATCAAATGGTTTTTTTAACTAAAGTATTAATATGTAATATACTAAAATTATCAATTTTATAAATTATTATAATTAATAACATTATCTAGACGAGAAAAAGTAATAATACTACAATTATTTATATTTAGTGGGAGGTAATTTTGATGTATGATTTCCATATAAGTAATTTATCTAGATTTTACTGTAATATTAAAGTACCTATCAGTTGGATACATTTAATATTCAAACATTTAATAGTTATTTATTATACTATAATTTCGATGTCTGATGACTGATCGGCAGTAGCAACGGGATATCATATAGGATTATTTGAAGCAATTAGCAATTGCTTCATGTCTGAAATGGGTGGGTATAATCGTACGACCTCAACAGAAATATCAATGTAAATATTGGCTCTTGCTGCCTATTTTGGTTCAATGAAGGGTGGTGGTAAAAATAATAAAAATATACAATATGCTTCAAAGCCTCCACAATTTCGCGCTGCCACTTCTGATCGGTAACAATTAACTACGTTAAATCGATCTATTCATAAAAAGTTGTCCATTTCATGAAGTGGAAACAGTAAATAATATACTGTGTCCACAAAAACACTTCTCAGTAGTATAAAATATAAAAAAATAGAATATTTAAGTTATTAAAATATAAATAAATTAAAACTACCTACTTAGGTATTTAAAAAAAAACGAAAAATTATACGCTCATATTAGAACATGTTGGTTTAAAAATTGGAATGAATTGATGTCTTATAAAATTTAAAGGTAAGATTATTATGAAGGTAATATCATAGATAGGTACTAGGTACCTATATATCTTTTTGGTTTTTATTATATTTTGATTTTAAAGCGAGTTATGGCCGTTATGGGTATTTAAAGATGTAGAATTATATATAAGTATTTGCTTTGAGAATTTCTTTCATGTGGATTTGGTTCCGTGGATTTTTTTTCTGATTATTATTATTTTTTTTTTTGAACTATTTATATACTATGATATTAAGCCAGGACCTTAAGAGGATGCCATACGGGCGAAAATGCCGTTAAAAAACATGCCAATTTTGTTCCAATAATACTGAATAGTTTTAGAGCAAAATACCTTAATTAAAAGTTGTAGAAGAGAGTTATATCGGGTGACGTAGAAGACTCGAATTTTGGTATTTTAATTTTTATAGGTACCAATTATTCACAAGTAAAAAAGTGAAAACGCAAAACGATTTTGAGAATGAAATATCAAAAATCGAGTCTTATACGTCACCCGATATAACTGTCCTCTACAACTTTTAATTAAGAGGACGTGATACCCGCATGTGTTGTACTGTTGTCTCCGTCTTAAATGTGCGTAACAGAAAATTCTACCCAAAGCAGAACACGTGTAGCTCTGGTAGTTAAAAATTAGAATAAATTGACCTCTTATAAAATCTTAAGGTAAGATTATTATCTAAACCAGGGGTCTCCAAACTACGGCCCGCAAACAAGTTTTAAACGGCCCGCAGCACCCATAGGACGGTAAATAAAATATATATATCTAAATATAATATGTGTAATTTAAAAACTCGTTATCGCGGGCACGTATCATAATTTATGTTGACAGGCATTGTAATTTCCTTTTATATTTTTAGTTATAACGTCGATAACGGAAAAATTAGTCACATAGACGAGCGGCAAGACGAAATCATTTCATAACGTTAGTACAGTTACATGTCTAAGTTTGCGGTGCCTTTATTATAAATATTATTCTTTACCTATTAATTCACCAATTCGACATGTCAGGAAGAGGATTGAAAAGGAAAATAAATTCAGAATGTCGTGTTTTCAATGAAAAGTGGTCGTTGGATTATTTCGTAATTTATTCAGGTGACAAAATAATATGTTTAATATGCAAAGAAAGTATTTTTGTACTTAAGGAGTACAATATTCGAAGGCATTATGAAACAAAACATAAGACAACTTTTTCAAAATTTACTGAGAAATTACGGTTAGATAAATTGCAGTCACTTCAAAATAATTTTTCATCACAACAATTATTATTTAAAAAACAAAAAAATATTAATGAAGCTGCTACAAAGACTAGTTTTCGTATTTCACATCTATTGGCAAAAAGAGGAAAAGCGTTTTCTGATGGTAGTTTAATAAAAGAATGTATAATTCAAGCAGTTGAAGAAATTTGTCCAGAAAGAATTGATACTTTTAAAAATAATAGCCTTTCTGCTAACACAGTTCCCCGTAGAATTGACGATATTAGTAATAATTTAAATTCTCAGGCACAAAAAAAGGTTTAATTGGACAGATATTTACGAGTTGTGAAAAAGAAGGTTTTAAACCAATGACTTTGCATTGTATTATACATCAGCAGGCATTATGCGGAAAAACTTTACGTCTTGAGTTATGGATCCAATAATATCAACAGTAAATTTTATTCGCTCGAGCGCACTTAGGGCCGATTTCACCAACACAGTTAATCACGATTAAAGTTAACCGGAGTTTTAATCGGCCGAATTTGGCCGGTTAAATATCTGTTATCAGTAGAGTTGCCACCTTTGAAAGAAAGCAGCCCCGGAGCAGGCCGATAAGCAAAAAAAAAAAAAAGGTCGTTTAGTCATAAATGTAGTCGTTAATGAATTACTTTTCAAATTCTGTGTAGTTTTATAATATCGATGCCACGGTTACACTGACACAAAAATTAAAAGCAGATATTCGGATTTGATCAAACTCGACACTCGACTGTGATGTTGAAACTGATTCGTAAAATCGTAATCGTAGACTCATAAAGTCATAAACCGTAGTTCATAATCTTATTATTCTTGTTATCTTGAATAAATGGTTTTTATACCGGAAACTAATAAAAAAAATAATAAAATAAAAAATCGTATGTTATCTTATCTTTATCTCCGACCCGGAGAATAATTCACTGAACCCGGAGCCCGTAGATTTATACGTAAACCCGGATTCTCCGGGTGAAACCCGGAGAGGTGGCAACCCTAGTTATCAGCCGATTAAGCGTTAACCGTAATTAACTGTGTTGGTGAAATCGGCCCTTAGGCATCGTCAGTTTCAAGATTTTTTGAAAGAAACGGAGTACCCAGATACATAGGTACCGTATTTTACAGCAGTTCGATGGTTTAGTCGCGGAAAAGTCCTATCCCGATTTTTTGAACTAAGAAATGAAATTGAAATATTTCTAATTGATAAGAATCGACCATTGCCTTTACTTACAGACAGTGAACGGGTTTGGAAATTAGCTTTTTTAGTGGATATCACAAAATATATGAACGACTTCAACCTAAAATTACAAAGTAAAGATGTTCTTATTTGCAATGTTTACACATTAGTGAAAGCATTTAGGCAAAAACTTATTTTATTTGAAACGAAAATTTCAAAAAATTGTTTTATTCATTTTTCTACTTGTGATAAATATAACAAAGAATCAAAAACACAATTTCCAATCGACTTCGCTCAAAAAATAATTTCTGAACTTAAAATCCAATTTAAACAACGTTTTTCTGACCTTGACGTAAAATTGGAAGAAATAAATATTTTTCAAAACCCGTTTAGTTGTGATATTGAGAAGTTACCTCCTACCCTTTAAATGGAAATGATTGATTTACAAAGTAATGATGCACTGAAAATCAAACATCGTGAAGAGACTAATTGATTTTTATAAATTTCTCCCAGATATACAGTATCCAAATTTAAAAAAATTTGCAATATATATCTGTAATTTGCAATATATATTTGAAATTTGAATATATATCTGTATTTGCTACGACTTATTTGTGCGAACAAACTTTTTCTAAAATTAAATACATCAAATCAAAATATAGATCGGCCATGACTGATAAACACTTGGAGTCCATTTTGAAAATTGGAACTAGCAACATACAACCTCAATTCGATCGAATATTAGCAGAAAAGCATCAATTTCATACTAAGTATGAGAAGTCTTCTCATTAAAAAAGAATTATTTAAAAAATTATTAAAATTTCAATGTATATATTATTATCATTTAAATTTATACCAATTATATTTAAGTATATTGTAGACAATATTTTATTAAAAGATTTAAAGTAAACTTATATTTGTATACCTATATTTTTATAAAATTAAAAATTATATGTGTTAATAAACGTTTGGCCCGCTAAGAGCATTTGATATTTTTTGTGGCCCTTGAATAAAAGAGTTTGGAGACCCCTGAATTCTAGACAACCTCCTGAGCTTTTTAATTCAAGAGACACTATTTCAGGCCAAGAGATTGTTAGAAATTTACATATTTCTATTTTTTAATAACATTTGTTGTTTTCATTACCAATACTCAATAGGCAATAAATAATAATTAATAAATAATAACATTACAATTAATATAATATATCATTATTTAAGTACCTGTGTGGCTGTGTTGTAATAGTTAGAACACAGTAGGAAATGGGAATACATTTACATAAACATAATATAGGTAGGTAGGTACCATTATAATTTATATTCTGAAGTATCTACCTACTTTATTTGTGACATTATTTCTTTGGTCTAATTTTCATAAAAAAATGTGCAACTAAATAATGCAAAATTGAAACTTAAAATAATCAAATGTTAACTAGGTATAGCTTGCTTATAATGGTCTCATGCAATGTATGAATTTAGAAGTTGAACTTCAGGACGACTGCAGGACGGACGCGGATCGACGAAATACGAAACAATAATTATTGTAACAACTAATAAGTACTATAAATATAAAATAACTAATAACATTAATATATCATAATTTACACAAATACTTCAAATAACAACAATACAGATTAGTGATTACGGACATGTATAACCCCATAGGGGCGGACAAAATAATAATAGTTATATTTTAATTTAGAACCTATACAATAAGTATAGTAATAACATAAAATATAAATAGAACAATATTCGTATTACCAATAGATATTAATATATCGTAATACTGATTAGTGATTACCTAAGAGCATCGGGATTTTTATTAATTAATTCGAACATTATATTATTTTCTTCCTCACTGACCATGCTCGTGTGAGTTAAGTGTTAACCAACAGTGTTTTCGTTAAATTCGTAAAATTGAATGCATTACTAGGTTGGTATTTTTAAAAATCTTAAATGCATGAAGTAAAAAGGTAAATATTACAATGCCCCGTGAGCACTATTATAATATTAAATTAAATTAAAAAAAAATCAACATTTTGTTGAAAAAATAAATTTCATTGTAAACAGATACCTAAGTATATCATTAAATAATAAAATGTAGTACATAAACATAATATATTGTTTATAAATACAACGTCAGTTATACTGACTTACCTACTTCAAGTGAAAATGAATCAATTTACATTATTTTATTGATACATTTTGAAAATATCAATATTTTATCATTTTTACTGCATTTGTAAATATAAATAAAGTTATTGTATGATCATATAGATATAAAATATAAATCATGTAATATTGACATAGTTAAGTTTAAGACCTTTAATTAACATTAACATTAACTATGTCAAATAGTAAAGGCCATATTATGGTGGGAGGCGATGAATAATATTATTGCACAGTCTTGTGAAATACCCTGTGGCCTATATAATAACAATAAATAAATAATATAAAAACAGAAAAGACTCTAAGAAATAATAATTTTTAATAAAAATTAAAGAAATAATATTATACATCTAGCATCCATATACATTATACAATTATACAAAAGTGAATAGGGTGTCTGGGTGTGTTACCAATCATGAAATAGCTTCTAAATTCTAATCTTGTGTATAGACGTCATACTGAAGCCTAAAACCAATATAATAAGCGTTACTCACGAATATTAAAATATATTATTGGGTAAAATAAAATAAATAATTCAATGATATTCATCATTTTTCCTTATGATTCCCGGATACAATATCAATTATTTGTTAAATACTGAGCGACTGCAATTGGACAGACAGGGTTGTGCTTACATCACTTACGGTCAGACCAACAAGATTGAAACTATAAGTCGAAAAAATGTAAATGATAACCAAGTAAAAAATTGAACCACCTTTTTTTTAACATCAGCAAATATACTTAATAATAGTGTTGGGGTTACAGCTATCAAAAATAATGAAAACATATAAGTACCTACCAATACGTAATTTTAAATTTCAAGGCTGTAAAAAATAGTTTTAAGTAAAAAAAAAATTAAAAATCTTCTGTCACAATGAAACTTAAGGTTTATATTTCAGATGTTGTACTCAAAATAATACTGACCACCGATGAGGTCAATTATAGTATACATATTTATTATATAGTAACAACAAACAATAAATACGTTACAAAAATATACTCCGAGCACCTATAGCTAAGTAAACAATATTAATGTAATATTATGTCTCGTACCTATTCCCTCTCAAGTTATATACAATTATATACTATATTAGTATAACCTATATAGGTTCTATTCAAATAATTGTTATGCGCGTCATGCACCTTTTTGATTTTCAAATTGATATAAAACAATTTACATCTCTATAAGTAAATTTTTTTAAAACCACTTACAATTTACAATAATACAATTTTAATATTATCATGAATTCATTATTGACTTCTACCTTTTGTAAATTATTAGTTATATACTTATTTACATAGGTAATATACTACACCTTTGGGTGTGTACCAACTCTATGTGATTCAAACTTTGTTCAATTCGTTATTTAATATTCGATGTATGGTTTCAAAATAAATCTTAACTTTTAGGTTGCCCGGAATAAAAATTCTGATTTGCTGCAGTACATTATCAGGTGGACAATCTATCTGCGGTAGATCGTGGACCCCGTGCAGTATGTACGTTAGTGTATGATTTAACTCTATTACTCTAAAGTATCAAAATCAAAGTTATACCAAGTTTGTCGTATTCTACCTATGGTGGATTAATATAATCAATTAATACAAAATATTAATTTAACATAACAGTACTAAAATAAGATGAATAAAAAAAACCTAATTTAACCATTTTTATATTAAAAAATCTTCTTCCCAGTTTCTTCACAATTTATTCAAAATGTACACTTATTTTTATATACCTATATAGATTATATTTATTATTGGTTGATATTGGTTAATTGGGCGGATCAGGTACAAGCATACATCAAATCAAATTTCCGCATTATATTAAAATAAACTTGGTATAACTTTGATACTTAAGAGTTAAATCTACACTTAAGTACTGGGTCCGCGATCTACCGCAGGGCGCAGGTAGTTTGCCTACCTGATAATATACTGCTGCGAATCAGACATTTTATTCCGGCAACAGAAAAGTTAAGATACATTTTGAACACCATACACCGAATATTTAATAACGAATTGAACAAAGTTTGAGTCATATAGAGTTGGTATATTTAACGGGAAACGAAGTGCACAGGATCAGCTATTGTATATATTTATATTGACAAAAAATAATATTACAAATATCAACAAACATGCCCGATTAACCAATAGCAACCAATATATAATACACTATTATTATTTTAATCTGCAACAATAAACTACATTTTAGATTCTGAGTGGAGCGAGGAAGCTAGGGGTTTTACAATGGTGTTTATTTTTTTTTATTTTATATCCTGTGTACAAAATTTCTACCAGAAGGAGTTCTTCTATTTCAACATATTATAGTACCTTATCTTTTAGAAAATTGGATCAAGGCGGTACTTTAGAGAGGTCATTTTTCGATTTTATCAATATTTATTAAATGCCACTGTAAAAACCACCCAAAAATTACGAAAAACTGCTAAAATTTGGATTTTAATTTCTAACGCTTTGTTTATTACCATAGAAACAAATAAAAAATTATAATATTATAATATTAATTCAACTTACATGATAATATAATAATTAATGACAATATAAAATATCCAGACTGACAAACCGTCTCCACTCAGAATCGTTTTTCTTATACAATGATAGAATATCATTGAATTCAAGTTTAATACAATCCATTATACAATGACCCACTATTGTAACCTACTGTGCAGCAGAGCGATTTACACTTACCCGCTTTTTTAAAATGAATATTCAATTAAATTTAAATTTCACACACCTACTCATAATTTCTAAAATTTAATTTGTACAACAATGCTGTATGAATGCACTGTGGGACCTGGGTATGACTGTGTGAGGTACCTATATTACCTATTTATCTACATGTATTGTAACTTGTAAGTCTATATTATACTATTCCCGCCTAATAGGGATAATCAAAATGTGTCATTGTTTCACACACCACTATGGTTGATTATTAATTATTATGCTTGCGTATGTATACTTAATGCAAATAAAAAAATCCTATAAATATACTTATCTATTAAAAATATATTATGTTCAAATATTTATAATATTTTGCTATAATTATTATAATATAATATATCTGTATAATATACAGTAGAACCTCGATTATCCGAACTTATTGGGACCGCACCTAGTTCGGATACGCAAAAGTTCGGATATTGGAAATTTAAAAAAAAAATTTAGAATTACGTATGTATTAACTATTTACTATTTTTATAATTAAATATTTATTATTGTTATTAATATTTTATTAGAACTACATGCATACATTACATTATCAGAAACATTATCATACTTTATAAGAAATAGGTACATTACATTTATTTTATTTACATATGTATGTATTATATTTTTTTGACAAAATTATCAATTTTAATTTGGCGATGAGCCGCTACGCGCTTTTCTGCAGCCAAGTCTCGCAAACGTTTAAGGAGAAGTAATTGTGCTGGACAACATTCGGCCTGTTTTTCAAACCACTCAAGACCAGTTTCAAATGCAGCAAATGCTTCAGCAGATGTTGGTCCTTTTGGCGTACTCATACTTTCATCACTACTGCTGTCGTCACTTTCTTCATTTTGCAACGAAGAAATGATTTCATCGCTATCTAATATTTGATAACCTAGATCATTTACATCAGTTGCTAACCAATCAACAGCGTCATCATAATTACAGTCATTAAATCCTGGAATTTCATTAAATAAATCAACAAAATCATCAAAATTATTTAGATCAGTTATTTCTTCTTCGGCTTCTAACTTCATAGAAGCAACCCACAACTTCTTCCAAGCATTTCGTAAATTTTCCTCAGTCAAATTATCCCAGGCATCTGCTGCCATGTAACAGCAGTGTTTCAAATTCAATAATTTTGAAAATGCAACAACACTCTCTTCAGTGCCTTCATTTAATAAAAGTCTCCTCAACATTTGTTTTCGGTACATTCTTTTGAACTTTTCGATTACTCCCTGATCCATGGGTTGAATCAAAGACGTTACGTTTGGTGGTAAAAACATGACTTTATAATCTGGATCAATTAAATTTAATACTTCGGCGGATGGGTGAGTGGGTGCATTGTCTAGTAGGAGTAACACTTTACCTGTCTTGTGATGATCTTGACGCCATTTTTTTTACATTTTTTATGAAATCATTTTCAAACCAATTAAGAAATAATTTAGAGTCCATCCAGGCATTTTTTTGAGCTGTATATGTTACCGGTAAACTTTTGATGTTCTTGAAACACCGCGGTTTCTTTGATTTTCCTATGAGTAGTAATGGCAATTTATGGGTCCCAGCCGCATTAGCGCATGTCATAATTGTTACTCTTTCTTTGGATACCTTAAAACCACGCGCTGCATGTTCTTGGCAAGAAGCAAGTGATTTTCTTGGTAGTGCTTTCCAGTTTAAGCCACTTTCATCGGATTCATTGTAAACGGAATCTTGAGAATATCCTTCTTTTTCCACAAATAACTGGAATATTTGTTTAAAATTTTCAGCACTGCTTGAATCAGCTGATAATGATTCACCTTGAATTTGTAACTCACGTATTCCATGTCGAGATTTGAATTTATGAAGCCAGCCACTGCTGGCCTTAAAATCTTCAGGGCCTTTAAGTTTTGTATTCATCTCGAGAGCTTTTTCACATATGAGTGGTCCAGAAATTGGTTCATTTAAGCTTCGTTTTTGTATAAACCACATTTCCATTGCTTTGCCAAGATCTTGATATTTTGCGACTTTCATAACTTTCCTTCTTTTTATTCCATCACCACTATCTAGTTTGCTATAACTATTATAATATAATATATCTGTATAATATATGTATTGGCTAAAGTAAAAAGCACTTAAGTAATTCTCTTCAAACGTAAAATATTATTAGATAGTTATTACTTGTTAGTTATTATCTACAAATACTAAATAGGTGTAAGGTGTATACGACCTATAAGGATGTTGAAGGAAACAAACATAGGTAGTGTGGTATCACCCGTATTGGATAATACGCGGTAAACCAACTTTATACCTTACCCTCGTACGCTCTAGGCTAATGACTGTCTCTAGAATATATTCAGATTAGCACTGTTAACCTTTGAGGTACGATGGTAGCGTTTTGTCAGTTCTTCGTTCGTTTCCTAAATTGGAATGACTATTAGGACGCCACAACCAGAGCACTGTTCAGTTTGTAATAAACCTCATTGACTATAGGTGTGTGGGTCTGAGCACTGTTCCAATATTAAAGGTAAGAACGAAGAAGACTTTGAAATAAAACTCAACTCGGGTTTTTAGGTCGGAAACACTTTTATTATATTAAAACAAACATAAATTAAACACTTAGCAAATCCGGATTGCCTAGCCCGTACTACGATCGACGTTTCACACGTACGACCACAGTACCTACGTCCTCGCCGATTCACTCAGCGACAACGGGACTCTCTCGTGCCTGCGCGTGCGGCGGTGTTATATAGTAATCTTATCGCTGTCTCAGCACATATGCTTCACTGACCTATGTCAATAGTTTACAATTTAAAATGTTCCCACCTCTATTACATATATGAAATAATATTTTGACGACTGTCTACAATATACGACAGTCCCCATTGTTTTTTGAAAAAAATGCCCTCATTTTTAATGATGTTTCTATATACAAATGTCTTATTACTACATTAAATACTAATCTACTTTTACACTATATTACTGTCTCGGATTATTCGCGTCGTTGACTATAAAATTATGCTTAAATGTTAATTTTAATCCTATTATTTTAATAATTTATTTTTTAACGCGTTGTTAGGGGAGAGAGGAGAAGAAAAAAATATATATATATTACAAACATAATGAAAATAATAATTTAAACATTTATACAACTGAAAGCATCACAAGTGCAACCCGAATACATAAAAATAAAATCTAATGACAATATTACTATTGCAAAAAAATCGAAGTCAAAATTAAAAATATATATCACAAGCAATGATATACTAACACAGTATAAAATAAATCCTACAGACCGCTTAGGCAGCGAAAAACATTTAATGCTAGAAACCCAGATAGTAGACTATTCTAACGAAGTAATCTTATACAATTATTCCAACGTATATAGTAATATTCCAAAAGGAATGACAATAGCCACAATTCACGAATTAAACATACAAAATAATTAACACTAATTACAACAATTTAAATTTAAAACAGATAAATCGATATTTCAACCGCTGTAATTATTTTATACTGTATAAAATTAACTCGGTATATTAATACAAAAAAAAATCTCTACCTGTGGCAATATTAATATTTTTTTTTAGGATCTAAAAACAATTAGAAACATATAATTCATAAATACATATTAATGATTAATAATTTTTTTATAACATAAATATAAATTGAGTTTTATTTTATACTGTATTATAATGTATGAAATTTTTACTCAGAATATAGATACAAAAATTTATGTGAATACATATAAGGTTATAATAATTTATTGATTGGCTCTTTGTGGAAAATATTTTCTTAGAGATTTTTCTCAGTTTGAAGTATAATATTTTTATTTCGACAAATAGCAGTAAATGATTGTTGTTCTTCTACGGCATTTTTGTTTTTTTTTTTTTTGATTCTATGGTAGTTAATTCTTCTTCGCCTTTGTATTTGTAAGGTAAGTGTTTATTATCTTGCTTGTTTTAGTTTTTCTTCTCATAATCTGTATATATTATTTTTTCTTTTATTTATATATATTCTCGTATATTATTTTTCCAAACTTCTGTTTTGACTGCAGTCTCTTCCTCGTGTCTTCGTATGAAAAGGTATTTGCTTATTGTTTTTATAATTATTGGTTTAATGCTTATTGTCTACTTTGAAAATATTATATTCGCACTTTGTCTCAGAAGATTGTCGCGGCTTGTTGTCTGTTGATTCGTTAATTTTTGATTATGCTGAAAATACATTCTATTCTTTTGTTTTTTTTATATCTTTTGTTTTTACATGCTTTTAATATTTTATTATTTTCCCTTAAATGTAATTGTGTTATTAATTCATATATATAATATATATATAGGTAAAGAGTTAATTGAACTTATACATGACATATACTTAATTTATTACTGTGTTTAATTACATATTATTAGTTAATTATATTTATATTTTCCTAAAATTGGGTTTATTATTATATTGTTTTGATAAATTTTAATTTTTACAATTACATTAATTTTGTTTAAGGTAATATTTAGAAAAATTATTCAATGGACTTGATAACATTTATAAGATTCTCGAAGCCCTCCTGGATTTTTATCAATGTTTTCGGTAACTTTCTTATGTCTTCGTTGTTGGTGTTTGTTCTCGGGTTTCATTTCTTGTTTATTTTTTACTAGGGAATAATCTATACATGATAGATTTGAGCCTGTGTCTATTATTGCATTTTGTTCGTTGCCGTCTAGTTTTATTTGTATGGATAGCACTCTTTGTTTCCGGTCTGTGTCTGAATCTACGCTTGTATTTTGATTTTTGATTTTAATTTCGTCTTTGTTTTGAATTAGCTGGTTTTTGGTTTCTATGGCTTTCTCGTCTTCTTGTATGGGCCGATTCCGATATTCTCTTATGTAGTTTCCGCATATTTCACAAAACATAACGTTTCCCCCCTCACTCCAATACTCTTCTTTGTCATCGTGGTCGTCTAGTACGTCCTTGGTAGTGGTTGTGGACAAATATTCGCAGTCTTGGCAAAATTGTGAGTACCATATTGTTGATTTGTCAGTTTTAAAATAGTTGCCGGTTTTATTTTTTTCTATTGTGTTTTGTTGCGATAATTTTAAGCGATCGAAACATTCGTATAAGAAATGGTCTACATTTTTTTCTACAGTATTAAAGTCGGGAAAAACTGTGTTTATTATTATGTTATTGAATTGACGTTGTTTATTTATTTTTGTGATAATTCCTGGTGTCCAATTATTATCTTTTTCGAATATCCCTATAATTTTCCTATTTGATTTCCAGTATATTATGGCATTTGTATATTCGGAATCTTCGTGTATTAAATATAAATTTAAATTAAATTGGTCACAGATAAATGCTAGATCGTCATTTTTAAAATAGTAGCCAGATTTGCAATTAGGAATGCCGAGCATATTTAATAATTCTACCGTCTTTCTATATATACCATGTTGTTTCAAGCATATTCGTAGTGCGTGGGCACCACAATCACCGTCTCCGGGTACGTCTTTCGTTTTTCTGAATGAGCCATCTATTAGTGCGATTTCGTTCTTTAAATTATCACTGATCGTGTTATTAAAATTTTTACCTATCGTAATATTAGTAGTTTGGGAATCATTGTTTTTATAATATTTATTTTCATTGTCGTTGCTCGGCAGTAGGCATATTAAAATTTTTATTTGCGTGTTTTGAAAAATAAACTTGATCATGGTAGAAATAACGTTCCAATCCTTTTTGTCTTGTCCAGTGCAAATTTTGGGTAATGCTAAGGTAGTAATATTATTTTCTATACAAAATTGCCTAGTATTAGTTAATGTGTTAAAAATGTTAGTGTATGCTGGTTTATCGTAATATTTATTTTTTGTTATGAGGTATAAAATCCATTGACTTCCGTTTTTCAAATAAGCAATTTCGGTGGTTTTCTTTTCTTGGTCTATTAATTTGTGTACGTTGTTAAATTTATTTCTGAATTGTAACGCGATCCCCTTCGACATGGTAAGGCATTGACTTGTGCAATGGCCGATTGCGATATCATTTGGTAATGAAAAAATATTTACCGTCTGTTCACTGTAATCGCATAGGAAATCGGTTCTATCGTTATTGCTGAGTAGGAATTTTTGGAATTCATTTAGTGGGTTCAAACTACTTATTGTTACGATGTTTTCTATAGATTTTTCGTCATCGTCGTTTATTTCATTAGTTATTAATTTATTTGAATTTGTTGATTTGTACCAATTTTCTACAAAATGTATATAATTATTTTTCTCAGTCTCCTTTTCTTTGTTAAATTTTGAGTTGTCGGCTTTTGTATAAATATTATTTGTTCCCCGAGTAAGATATTCCGATTTTTCTCTTTGCTCGGGTGCTATTCGTTTTTTGAAAAATTGCAATCGCTAGCATAGTGTCCTTTATTATTGCATTTGTAGCATGTTATTTTTTCTCTTCTGTTAAATCCTTCCGGCGTCGTGGATCTTGAATATCTTTCTCTGCTGTTTTCCCTACTGTGCTGTTTCCTACTTATGTCATTTTCACGATTTCTGTTCTTATAACTATCTCTATCTCTGGATCTGTCGTAGGAGTGTTCCCTATTTCTTGAGTCAGACCTATCTCTATTATTGCTCATTTCTCTACTGTTATTTCTATATTTATTGTTATTGTATCTATCTCTACTGCTTTCTCTGAGCTTATAGTTGTTGTACCTATCGGAATAAAGACTTTTTTCCCTATAATTGTTCCTGCCTTCGTGATCTGTTCTTCCTGGATATGGACTTTGGTCTCTGTATTCACGTTGTCGTCCTCGGTAATTTGTTTTTCTATTATAACTTCTGCTCCTATCTTCATTATAATTATAATTTTTATTATTATATCGATTATCTATTTCTTCATCATCGAAGTTTACCGATTTATTTCTTCTTCCTGTAATGTTGATTTGTTGAATATTTTCCCGTAACTGGTTCATCTCCTTTTTGTATTCTCTATCTCTTTCTATTAACTGTCTTTTTAGTTCATCGATTTCTCTTCCTTTTTCTTTTGTTTTTTGGTTTAGTTGAGATACATGTTCATTAAGCATTTCTGTATAATCACTTAATTCTGGTCCTCTGTTATTAATTCGAAATTGCATCAATTCAAATTTTTTTAAATTTTTCTTTAGTTCCTTTAGGTTGCTATTGTCGTGTAATGAAATCGCATGTAAGACTGTCTCTTTTAATCCCTTTAAAATATAAGTGCAAATTTCTTCTTCCTGCATATTTTTATTTAGTTGTCTACATATATTTTCTATTTCTGTTACAAAACTCATTATAGACTCTGTATCTCCTTGACGTCTATTTTCTAATCTAGTTTTTAAAATTGTATTGTAACCCATTGGTTGAAATTCGTCGAGAAACTCCTGTTTCAAATTATTCCATGTCCAATTATTTTGTTTGTCTTCCAAATTTTCTAAAAATATACTTGCTGTACCTTTTACGAATATCGATAAAAATCTTGCTTTATCTTCGTCCTTCCAACCGTTTACATCTGCTGCTTTTTCGTATTGTTTGAAATATTTTCTTACGTCCTCATTACCTGAGAACTGGTCTGGTCTAATCATTAGAATTTTTTCTGTCATTTTCTGTGTTTGTTTGTTTAATGGAGTAGAATGAATTTCAGAGTTTACGTTATCTCCTTTTTGATTATTTATTGCTGTATTTTCGATTTTGAATTTTGGTTGTTCCCTTGTGTTATTAGAATCAATAGTTGTTGAATTATTAAGATTTATTAATTTATTTTCAATAATCTCACTATTTTCTGGTTGAGTATTTAATTTTAATTCCTCATAAATATTATTAGAAGTATCATTAATCTTAAGATTTTTTAATATATTTTCATAAGTATCAGAACTTTCTTTTTGACAATTTTGGTAAGTTATATCTGAATTTTCTAGAATATTTTTGGTGTTATTCACAAATAAGCTTGTACTGGCATTAAGATTATCGTATAATTTTAAATTATCTTTTGATATTTCTGAAAAGCTGTCTGAAGTTAATTTATTAATTGTATTTGTGTCAGTGCTTGAATCGCTCGAATCGAGTATTCCTGCTTCTTTTTCTATTTTTTTAAAATCGATTTTGTTAGTTTTTGCTTTGATTAAAATTAAATCGCATTCTTCTTTGCTTAATTTGTTATCTATGTCGTCTGATGTTATGGTGCCTTTTAAGTATCTACTAAGTCTAGCTCTTAATTCACTAGTTGTACCTGTTGATTTTAATTTTTTACTTTCGCAATATTTAATGAGAAATGGTTTTTTGAGAGTATAAATTTCTGTTGCAGTATTTATTGTTATTGAAAGATCCGATTTAGGGTCTTTAAGTTGATTCATTAATTTATAAAATTTGAAAAATTAATTTAAATAATCCTAAATCTATACTAGGACATTTTAACGGTTTTTAATTATGTTTATCTACAATTAACCTACTTTTTACTATTGGTAAAATCCCTACAAATTTAAATTATTAAGAAGTTTGACAAAAAAAAAAAATACTACTAGATTAATTATAATACTATGTTATTGAATAAAAAAAATTCTATTTAAATTTAAAAAAAAAATCTAATCTACAATCCTAATATTAATACGTAAGTATATCACTTAAATTAAAATATTTTTGCGGTTATAATTATATCGAATAAAAATTTTGAAAAGTAAAAGAGAAATAGAGAGAAAAAATTGAACTAAAAAAAAAATATCCTATTTAAATAGTTTCTTTAAAAAAACCTAATCTACTTGTTTAAAACTTAAATTAAAATTTTGCGGTTATTTAAAATCGAAAAAAAAATTTTGAAAAATTATTGAACTAAAATTCTATTTAAATTGTTTTAAGAAAAATCTAATCTATAATCCTAATATAAGTATTAAGTATATTACAAAACGTTGCTCACCTTGGCGTATACTTGTAGACGCACGGTTGCAAAAATTGTACCACGCGGCACAAAACTGTTGTCTTGTCGGTCAGACGAAAATCGAACGCGTATGTGTTACTCACTCGGTATACACACGCACAAAAATTGCGTTCTGGGTTTACACTGCACCCAAAACACAAAAGGTATATTTTACTTTAACGGAAAAAATCACTAAACTCGCTCCGGGTTTTACTATCCGAAACGTGCACAATTGTTGTACTTCACTTGTACCAAAAAAAAAAATGGTGTGTCAAGGGAATCTCTCCCAGACTACACGTAAAAACTGTTGTATTTCTAGTACGTAAACACTTTCAAAAAAATTAAACTTGCCAAGGTTGAGGTACCAGGGCACAAAAAATCAAAAAAATGTCTCCGACCGTAGGTAAGTAACCCCGTTGGGCGCCACTCTGTGGTATCACCCGTATTGGATAATACGCGGTAAACCAACTTTATACCTTACCCTCGTACGCTCTAGGCTAATGACTGTCTCTAGAATATATTCAGATTAGCACTGTTAACCTTTGAGGTACGATGGTAGCGTTTTGTCAGTTCTTCGTTCGTTTCCTAAATTGGAATGACTATTAGGACGCCACAACCAGAGCACTGTTCAGTTTGTAATAAACCTCATTGACTATAGGTGTGTGGGTCTGAGCACTGTTCCAATATTAAAGGTAAGAACGAAGAAGACTTTGAAATAAAACTCAACTCGGGTTTTTAGGTCGGAAACACTTTTATTATATTAAAACAAACATAAATTAAACACTTAGCAAATCCGGATTGCCTAGCCCGTACTACGATCGACGTTTCACACGTACGACCACAGTACCTACGTCCTCGCCGATTCACTCAGCGACAACGGGACTCTCTCGTGCCTGCGCGTGCGGCGGTGTTATATAGTAATCTTATCGCTGTCTCAGCACATATGCTTCACTGACCTATGTCAATAGTTTACAATTTAAAATGTTCCCACCTCTATTACATATATGAAATAATATTTTGACGACTGTCTACAATATACGACAGTAGGTACTAAGTACCTACCTATGTCCTATACCAATCTAGGTACATTCTTTGTGGCGGAATAATAATAACACTTGTTTTAGATTTTAATAAAATGTCCCATAATATATTTCAAAACGCTGGGGTTTAAAGCATTTATATGCAAAGCGAGTAATAAAAAAAAGGTTCAATTTAAAAATATCTAAGCCTCTGTATAGAAGGTCCCACACGCATAATGAAGTTGAATACCTACTTGCGAGCACAATGAAACGTTTGATCAAATGCATTGCTGAATTAATCAGCGTTCAAAGTAAAAACGATCCTTATAGTAAGTTAATTTCAAAGAAAAATGGACTTCCAATGAAACGGTAGCTACAGATATATAGCGACATAGGTATGCTCATTTAAGTATAATATAAGTACTGCAATACTGCAGTACCTATATTGCCTATGAATTATGATTACAGTTTTCTACTATAATATAGGCATAAGGCACTCGTGTGACGAAGTGTAATATGTTAAAATATTTATAAAAAGTCTTATCTTTATTGTTATTATTGAACCATTGACCGTAAAAATGCCAATTGAATTTTATTTTGCCAATTGAAGTGTTTTTAAATTTTGTTTGAGGTATACCTAGCTAGCTCTAAAAATACATAGTTTGAATTTATATTTATACCCCTCGAGATTCGAGTTATCATGACTGAATTGTATTAACATAAAATATATAGGTAGATACTTAATACATATTTTAATAATTCTTTAAATATTAGGTACCTCTATATATTGTACTTACCTATAGGTAACTGTTAATCGTTAAAAAATTTTTTTCACTATATTTTTAAATAATAATAATATACTGATTCTACTTACGTTGATTGACGAATGACGATTGTTAAGAAATTAGAGATAATCGTGAACGGTTTTTTTTTTTCAGGAATGTAGTTTTTTTTACTAAACCTTATTAATTGAAAAATAAACTAATTTCATTATAACTTTATTTGAGTGACAAGTAGTTAAATTAATTATTTTATAAAATTACAGTATTTTAGAATGTTGC